GATGGACCACATCTTGTCTCTACCGAAGTCGCACAAAGGCAATATGGGACGATAGTATGGGCGAATTTGTTCACCAGTGATGTGGCCAAAACTAGCGCGTCGTGGACCACGCAGACTATCACCGAGAATAACGAGGAGCGCGTTTCCACCGATCCGGCGCGAGGAAAGGGGTACACCATTGTTGAGAGCCAAGCTTCATGTCGTACTTTTTCAGCGCCTTCAACCACATCGCGAGAAAAGACAACGCACTACCATGGTGTACCGCCCGCAGTCCAACAGCACTGTGGGGCGAATGGTACAAACGTTGACGAGGGCTTTGATGTATGTAGCCATAGATCAGAAAGATTGGTACAACATATGCAGAACGCTTGATGTTTGCCATCAGCACGGCTTACGATCACGTTAGAGGCGACACCCTCTTCTACTTGGTACATGGGTGGGACGCGAAGGCGACGTTAGATACGACGCTACCCGCCACCATGAATGCGAGGCCCGCAAGGAGTGATATAACATCCAGCGACGATACTTCCAGGCACGATACCATGTCAACGAGGCGTTGCGAGGCGCGGTCGAGAGCAGCGCGACCAGACATAATGAAAGTGTGCGTCCACACTACATCAAAGCAGCTGATAAGGTGTGGCTTATTTGGATCGTGTTAAGGAAGGATACGCTCGGAAGCTGGCACATTTGTGGCAGGGGCCTTTAGGGCTACCAAGGCGATGGATCGATACGCCGCGCGGCGAGAAACCACAGGGACGGTGTACCAACTCTTCCCCGCCGTCCATGCGTCGAATCTCAAATGAGAGGAGGCATGTGGAACATTCAAACGACGCTACTGTGTCGCGAATTTGGATTGCAGTTGATGACGGGTGATGATTGGCTGCTTAGTGGATGATGATACCCCTGCCGCACCTGTGTAACACGAATGAAGGCTGGGATATGCGAATTCTGTGGAAAATATGTTGGCGACTGGATGCAGATGGGTCAGGAACTACCTGGAAGGTGTGCCTCGTAAAATGCATATTCAGGAAAGTAAAGAGGCGTCTCAGTCTAGGCCCGGACCTCCCTTGCGAGGAGCACCTAAAGGCTGGTGGATAGTTATCCTGGAGAACGTATCCCAGGATGACCTCTTATCGCTGTTGTTCCATCTAATAAGAGCAGTAGCATATGCCCGACTCCGGCCCGAGAACACACACATATTTTTAGGCTGAATGACAAAAGCAGCCCGTAGATGCGCCCAGTGCGTCCTACCTACGCCAAGAAGGACACCCTATAAGGTTTCTGCGCCAGGATGAGCAGCGCTCAAGGTCCTTAGGCTCTACAAGGCCGACGATCCAGGATACACGTTGTATCCGACACCCATGACAAGATATATGGCGTGTTGGAGCGATACCAAGTCTGTATCGGCTGCGTGCATCACGTACAAGAAGTTCGGGCCAAGTTTACAAGGT